AAACCCCCGCCCCACCATCCTGCGGCGCCCTTCCGTTACCCGCAGCCATGACTGAAGGCTGCCATAGTGAATTGACCCGTCAAGGTTTTTCTCTCTCAGAAGAAAGCGGTAGTCCTCTCCACTCGAGCGGTTTTCCAGAGCCATTCGGGGCCACAGCATCATTCGCTGGACTGGACAGTCTGTGGGATTGAGTATCCATTCTTCTCCACCAAACTCCTTGACCTCTGCTAGAACGTAACATTTTGTTTTGTCCAGATGAAGTCGGTTTATCAGAGAGTCGATCACCTCTGCAGCTGTGGTGTTTTTTCTGGCAGGAATCGGACAGTAGATGGTCCCTTCTGAAATTGTCCCGGGATATATACGCAACGTGTGCTCGTTATCCTCAAAGCGTCGTCTTCCTCCATCATTTATACTCATATTGGATCCTGTCCCATCAGCATGGAGGGTGTGTGTTCAAGACCGTGCAAACCATTTTCATGGCAAAAGAACTGTAACATAAAAGATATGAAACATCAGACATATTACTATGCCAGCTTTCCTGATGCTCGAGAAATGCTCGAGAAACATGTTGCTTACATCTTTTTGAACACAGAACCCTAACTCTTCTCCCAGTATAGGGACAGTCTTGAAATAGTCTCACTGAGACCATGTAATATTGAGTCTGACCATCCAAATCTGGGCACTTTACAAGACAGGAACTTGCCAGAAATAGAGTATTTAAATGTTTTTATCATGTTAATTCAGAATCAAAAGAAAAACACACACATATATATATTTGTATTTATGTAAATACACACACACACACGTATATATTTCTTCCCCTATCATAACAAATCTTTCTGAGGTACTGGAGATTAGAACCAAGTTGATTCATTATACCTGAAGAACCTCACTGAAGACTGGATATTGAAATGGAATAACCACACAAATCTAATCACCCTGCACCCAAAAAACTCTTCAGGATGAAGCAAAATCCAGAAAGACTGCAACTGATAGGGAAAAGAATTTTGCAACTGATTATAAACAGTAAGAAGATGAGATAAACAGAGAAATTAAACTAGATGAAGTTACAACCAAGAAAACGAGAAACCTGACACAGAGAAGATGCATTTCCAAGGAATTCTGAGCTCTGACCCTCCTCCTCGAGGCAGGGAGAAGGGGATTTGCAAGACCTTGCCCCAAACTGACAGAGCAAATCTGACAAAATCATCAAACTAGGCCCCAATGCAAATTTTATTCCACCTGCCTTTGTCCTTCAGCACTATGGTTCCACCCTTCTGTCTAACCTTGTTCTGCTCCTTGCAATTTTCCGCATACTCTTGCAATCTTCTAGATCCCAATGCACCAGACCTCCAGAAGAATCACTTCAGCTTTAGACCCCACAGAGAAAACACTGATTTTCTTCAAATGGTTTCTCCAACTGAAAACATATTCTGATTTTCACCTCATCCTTAGACTCCCATTTCTCTACACGTTCACATCCAATCATGGCTAACAAAAACAACTTACCGTTTCCAATAGCAGTTTGCCCTGTCGCAAAAGTATCAGAAGTTCATGTGTTACAGAGTTTTCACTTTTCACTTATTTCAGCCTTTAAAATATTAAGTCGTGGAGCTGGCAGGTGGCATGGTGGCTGAGGTGCTAGACTCCCACATGGCTGACACGGTTCAAGTCCCGGACCTGGCAGTTTGCTTTCTCACTTTCTCTCTCCCTCTATCATTAAATTTAAAAATAATAATAAATAAAGTTAAATAAATAATTCTTTTTAAAAAAGTAAGTAACTGAGAAAGCCATGACGTTTATTTCTATGTTTTTCAATGCAAAAATGCATCACAATTTTCCCAACGACCCAATATAATGTGCTATTTAAAAACATAAAAACTGGAACCAGCATATCGTATACAGTTACATCACTGGACTCCCACATGGCTGACTGTGGTTTGAGTCCCAGGCTTGGAAGCTTGAAACTCACACCAGACACATGTGCATGTATGTTCAACATCCCAAGAGGAGAATGGAGGAGAAAGGATAGTACTGTGGCTAACTCCCCAAGGGATGATTTCTTGGTTTATGTCTCTGTCTCTCTCTCTGGCGAGTGCACATACTCCACAGCAAAAACCTCTCAAAAACACACACAAACACACACACACATTACCTTCAGTTACTTTCCTCTAATACTGCCACATAATTTGTCAAAATCCTCTAATCAAGAAATTTTGTTTACCAAAATTTTCCTAGATGATCTTTCTTTTTTTTACAATTACTTTTTTATTTAATTTTATTTATCTATTCATTTATTCTTGATGTGAGCAGAGAAAGACACAGAGAGAGCTAGAGAGAGAGAAGGAAACTGAGAAAACAAACCACCAGGTCCAGGACTCAAACCGTGGTCAGCTATGTGGGAGTGTCCAGCACCTTAGCCACCACACCACCTGCTGGTCCCTTTAGATGATCTTTCAAACACAGGAGATTGCAGAACATATAAAAAGCAGCCATATTCTATGACCCAAATTCAGCAAGTTTGCGAACTGTTATAGTTGGCACAGATCCTTTTTTTTAAGAATTATTTTATTGAACTTTATTTTATCTATTTATTTTAATTTGACCAGAGAGGGACAGAGAGAGAATAAGAGAGAGAGAGAGAGAGAGAGAGAAAGTACTCTCCGGGGGAATGGCCATGCCATAGTCCCTTCTCCATTTTCCTTTCAGGATTTTGAGCTTGCATGCACAGGCGCCTATGTGTTTCTCAAGCCACTGCATCATTCAGCAGACGGCATAATGGTTACATTGTTGGACTCCTATGCAGTTGTCTGTGGTTCAAGTCCCGGACCCAGCAGCTTAAAACTCACACCAGGCGTATATATGTGTGCCCAAGATCCCAAGAGGAGACTAAAGAAGGGACTGTGGTGTGGCCATACCCACGGGGTATGATTTCTCGCTTTCCGTCTCTCTGACTCTCTGGTGAGAGCACACACCATACAGTAAAAATCTCTCTTAAAACAAAACAAAACAAAACAAAACAAAAAAAAGAAAGAAAATTGTATATAAACTCACACATTTAGAGAAATACTGGGTTGTCAGAGAAGTCAGGACATGTTTTTCTATGCAAAAGAGCAGCATAACTTTTCTCATGACCCAATAGATAAAAACACAGGGCTTTTAGGAAATCTTCAAATTTTTCTTTCATAGTTTTCATCAAAAATAAGTTTCAGGGAACCACCAGATAGCGTAATGGCTATGTCTCTGGACTCCCATGCAGTCGACCGCGGTTCGCGTCCCGGACCCGGTGGCTGAAAACACGCCAGGCGCGTGTGCGTGCGTGCCCAAGATCCTGAGAGGAGAATGGAGGAGAAGGGCTTGCGGCATGACCATCCCCCCTGGGGGGGGATTTCTCGCTTTCTGTCTCTATGTCTCTCTCTGTCTGTCTGGTAAGCGCACGCGCCCTATAGCGGAAATCTCTCAAAAAAATAATAATAAGTTTCACACACAGTACCTCAATTGAGTTTCACTCTTGTCTTAATTCCCTGAGACAAGAAATAAACTACTGCCTTTCGAATCAGAATATTAAGGCCTAAAGAGCAAAATTTCTATGGGAATGTATAATAAAGTTGGCATTTCAAGTCATCTGGGAAAAAGGGAGGCTTCTCAATAAAAGATGTGGGTACAATCACAAGAATAGAATAAACAATGTGCATAAAGAATTAAGCACATCACCGGTGCTTATATGGTAATCAGACAGTGCTGTATCTTTTACAAAGACAATGGTTAGATCGGTTCTGTCCCCTGTCCTAACGCAGTTATTTTAAAAGTCTATGCTAACGGAGGGAAACAATGCGGTGAGACTGTGCCTGGTCAGAAGGGTGTGGCTCAGAACAGGCCAGCTTACGATGCACTCACTGGACTGAGTTAGCCCGGGCTAATTACAGAGGACAACTGTGGCAAAGAAAGAAAACATGGAAGACAGAGTTTCCTTTAAATTAGAAGTTCAGTTAAAAAGGTAAAAAAGTAACTGAAGATTTTTAACACAGTATTCTGTGCTAGTAAAACTTAATTTTCCAAAAAATGCACAGTTTATTAATATAGCTTTGCTTTTTTATCAAGTTCTCTAAGTGGCTGATAACCTTAGACTTTTGGAGAGGTTTTTGCTATAGGGCGTGTGTGTTCGCCAGAAAGGCAGAGACAGAGAGACAGAAAGCGAGAAATCATCCCCAGGGGGGATGGTCACGCCACAATCCCTTCTCCTCCATTCTCCTCTCGGGATCTTGGGCACGCACGCAAGCACATGCGCCCGGCCTGAGTTTAAGCCACCAGGTCCGAGACTCGAACCCCGGTCGACTACATGGGAGTCCAGTGCCATAACCATTACGCCAACTGCTAGTCCTGAACCTAGACTTTTTAAAAATAAGCATTAAAGAGTCATAAAAGGGGCCAGCAGGTGGCATGGTGGTTGAGGTGCTTGAACATGAGCAATCATGGTTCAAGTCTCAGACCTGGTGGCTTGCTTTCTCACTTTCCCTCTCATACTCTCTCTCTCTGGTCAAAAATTAAAATTATTTAAATAAATAATAAATTATTTGGGGGAAAAAGGAAAACACTGTACATGTTCAAGCAAGATCCACTTTTAAACATATTACTGATACACCTACAGCTATTAATATGGGCAACCAATACCTGACATTTTAAATTTATTCTAGATAAATAACTAACGGAAAGTGGTCTTTAAGACCGAGTGTTCATGTTTCTTCATTCTATAATGCTTACAATTAAAATGTTTCACAAATAGGGCCAGCTGGTGGCACAGGGTGAAGGCGCGAAATCTTGCGTGGCTAATCTCACAGTCCAATCCCAAGACCCAGAGGCATGGTAGGCACATGTGCATGCATACCCAAAATCCCAAGAGGAAAATGGAGCTGTGGTGGTTTCTCACCTCCTCTCTCTGTGTGTCTCTCTGGTGAGCACAGTGCCCTATATCAAAGTTATTAAAACAAAAGCACAGTCACTACCGAACGTGCGGTCACATACACGAAAGCACAGTCACTACCGAACGTCCGGTCACATACATGAACACATATGGAGTTAGTCTAGAGGTAAACATGAGGATTCTTAAGACTTTGAAAACTGTGTTTTGTACTGATTTTCCTTTGTTCCACAAGTCCCCAAACACTCTTTTTACAAGCGCCCTCTCTCCTCTCCCCGCACCTGGACTTAACCTCTCAGCCCCCTGCACTTCACATGCAGCATGTGCCCAGCTCCGGGCCAACCCTACATGGGGCAGAGGCGATTGGGCTCCTCCAGGCTGAGCCAGCACTTGTAACTAGATTCTAGCTTTGTCCATCGTTCTAATTTAAGGTATTCTGTGAATCATTATAATGTGGGAAAAAAAATAATAATTAAGTTTTAAAAAATTAAATTCATAACATTGTATACAATTAAAAAAAAAAAAAGCCAGCCAAGGAGCTGCCCTTCCTGGCCTGCTAGAGAACAGAGT